GCTATAATACTTTATTATTATGTACATTTAAAATACCATATGATGTTAGTTATTGGTGTGAAGTGACAGCAAAAGTTGAATCGATATAACTTCCATATTTTGTTGTAGTTGTTTGCTGGCATCAAGTCAGTTCAACAGAATGAAACACTGCCCTGTCATGTGCCATCCTCACAATCATTGGTAAGCCCATTGTTGCTGCCACTGCGCCAATCCATCTCGTTGAGGGTTTTCCTCTTTTTTTCCCTGACTCATCACTTTACCAAACAGGATTGTCCTTATCCAAGGATTGGTCCATCCCGATGATATATCCAAAGTATGGGAGATGAAGTACTGCCATCCTGGTTTCTAAGGATAATTCTGGCTGTATTACTTCCAACAATATATTTGTTTGTTCTTCTAGTCATCCGTGGTACTTTAAATACCACAGCATAATGCATCAATTCTTTTATGGCCTTTATTTCCAACTTTCACATACATATGAAGCTACTGAAAATACCATGGCATGAGTTTGGTGCAAACTGATGTCCTTCCTCTTGAAGACTTTAAATAAAGAGGTCTTGTGCAACAGTTTTGCATAAGATAATATGTCATTTGATTTCTAGACTGTTGCTTTCATGAGTATTGATAGTAGATCCAAGCAAAATGAAGTCTTAAACAACTTCAATATTTCCTCCATTTATCATAATGTTATTTATTGATCTAGTAGTAATGATTTTTGTTTTCTTTACATTGAGGTGCAATCCATACCAAAGGCTGTGGTCTTTCATCTTCATCAGTAAGTATTTTAAGTCATTTTTGCTTTCAGCAAGCAAGGTTTCATCATCTTCATATCTCAGGTTGTTAATGAGTCTGTCTCCAATCCTTATACCACATTCTTCTTCATATAATCCAGTTTCTCAGATTATTTGCTCTGCAGACAGACTGAATAAGTATGTTGGAAGAATACAACTGTAGCACATACCTTTCCTGGTTGTAAACCATTCAGTGTCCCTTGTTCTGTTCAAATGAATGCCTCTTGGTCTCTGTACAGGTTCCCCATGAGCACAATTAAGTGTCCCAGAATGCTCATTCTCTGTAATGTTCATAGTTTATCACGATCCACAGCTGAAAACCTTTGCATAGTTAATAAAGCACAGGTAAACATCTTTCTGCTATTCTCTGCTTTCTGACATCAGCAATGACATCCCTCATTCTACCTTTTCCTCTGAATCTGGCTTGAACCTCTGGAATTACCCTATCAATGTACTCTTGTAGATGTTTTTAATTATCTTTAGCAAAATTTTTCTTGCATGTGATGTGAATGACAATGCCTGATGATATCCACATTCTGCTTGTTCATCTCTCTTTGGGATGGGCACAAATATGCATCTCTTCGAATCAATTAGATGAGTGAGTGCCTCCAGTGCTGCATCAGTTGTTGAAATATTTCAATTTGTATTCCATAAATTCCTGGAATCTTGTTCTTTGCCAATGCCTTCAGTGCATCCTGGACTTCTTCCTTCAGTACCATTGGTGCTTGATCATATGGCTCTCTCTTGAAATGGTTGAAAATCAATCATTTCTTTTTGGTACAATGACTGTATATTTCTTCCATATTTTTTTGATGCTTGTGGGTCATCTAACATTTTGCCCATAGAAAACTACAATATTAAAAGTCGAGACTTGAATTATTTCTTCAAGTCTTTCAGATTAAAAAGTATGTTATTATTATTGCATGATTTCATTTCATTTTATTACTCTAACTCCTGAGTTTGTTTATGTGCAGTCAGCATATGAAATTATCTAAAATATAAAGAATTTGACTAGAGGTAAATTCTGTCACAAATTAAGCCTCCAGTCTCAGACTCAATGTATACTAAATATACAATATAACAAAGTTCCATCGCACTTTCAAATACTGTTTGACCAGAGGATTACATTTAAAAATAATAGCTGGATGGAGCAAAGGGGATATGCTAATTATAAAACGGTGAGAATTTGGTTTTAATAGGGAGGAAAACAAGGGTTAGACTTTGGTTTAAAACTTGTAATTTATTCTCTCTTTTCCTCTCCTCTTCTCTTTCTTCCCCCTTTCCGATCTTCTTTCGTTTCTTCCCTTCCGATGGTCTTGTTGTTATATGAAAGGTATTGTGTTAAATATCTATATATTTGCTATTCAACTTTTAGCCAATGAGTTCTTGGTGTTTCTGTCTGTTTGGAACTAAGTAAAACAACCTGTTTATTATGACATTTCTAGAATGAGAAACATAATTACAAACTGTTACGTAAAGACTGGATACAGACTGGTCTGATTTCTGTGTCTCCTTATTTGATGATTCTCTTATTGTTGGAGTTGATATAAAATTAAGTACTGTAAAAATATTATTCTTTGTACAGTGTGACATGAATGCAAAGAAATTATTATATGCAGGACACAGGCATATCTCATTTGAATTTGATTAAGATAAGTAACTGGAAACTTAATTAGCATGATCATTAAGAAAGGTTTTACAGTTCCTTAAATGATATACCAAATGTCATTTGGGATTCAAAACACTGTAACATATAATAAATTGGTAGATAGCAAATTAATTGCTGCCCAGTAGGCATCAACTTTCAGACAACTGCTTAAAATGCCATGGTTACAATCCTGGGCAGGAAAACTTTAAGAGTCGGTCATCAGTTCAGATATGAGATGGCAAAGAAATACTTCTTTTTCAAAGAATATGAAGCATAGTAAAAATTTCTCATGATTACTGCTTCATCTCTCTCTCACAAAATTATAAAGGAATTGTTGAATGGAAACCTCATCTGTTCTGTAAACCCTCACTTAATTCACAATAAATGGTGAAAAAAAACCCAGACAATTATAAAGGAAATTCTTTAGAAACAAGCTATAGTTGAGAGAAAGAGGATAACATTTACCTATTAAATGGTAGCAGACATTACTGAAAAGTACCAGAGACAGTGACAAGAGATCACTATCAGAGTGATATAAATTAGATAAAGTGGGTTAGTTTCAGTTTGAGAAACAGGAACAAGTTGAGGTCTCTCTATTTTTTTTTCTGAAGTAATTTTCTATACATGAGTGTATGTAAGTCATGAAAACTAAACTGTTGTCTTTTGGAAGCTGGAGCAAATTTGGCTTAAAGCCTAGAAGAATGGAGTGCTAGAGTGCTTTTTTAGATCACTGTCTGGAAAGTTGATACTATGTTTGTATTATAGAATGATCATCTTGTTTCTATCATTCTCAGTGGCTAAATGACCAGAGTGATTTTTTTTTACCAGTGATGTTAAATAATTTAAGTTACTACTAACCTTCATAATGTCATTTCTACCAAAATATCCAGGACTGCCATTAACTTTTAAAGGTTAAACCATTAAACTGCATAAACAGATAATCTGTTGATCTCTTTCTAGTGACAAACACTGAGCTATTAATTACATATGTGGCAGGTACATTTAAAAAAAAAAAATTGTAGTTAACTCTGAGAGTGTGGTTTGTATAACCTTTTCTTCCCAGGCCTGTGCAACTGTGACAAGAAAATTCCAGTGCCATTAACACCAGGTCTGCTCCCACTGAGGAGAAAGGTGGTACAATACCCATTATTGTGAAAACCACTAATCTGAATCCATGAAATTTTGCCTCCACTTCCAATTACACCATTGTTGGTCACCAAGCCTCCATTCACATGAATAAATATCCAATGATAAAAGAAATGACATCAAGGCAATTTTGCTTTATTCTGTATTGTTTTGTTTGTTTTAATTAAACTATTGTTGTAGTTGTTAACTGTTAGATAAACAATTGGTTCCAACTGACAGAGACTCTGCATAGGGTTTCTGAAGCTGTAAATCTTTGCAGGAGCAGAAACCTCATCTTTTTCCTGCTTTAATTAAATAGATATAATAATTGAACAGCATAAGAAAAAAGTCAGTGTGATAACCTTAGGCTTCAGTGCTGCTATAATTTGGATAAGGAAATCAAGAAATGTGCATAATTGGGTTTTCAAAAAAAAAATTCCAGTTTTTTTCAAATGCTCCCATTAAATTGGTGGCTATGTAGCCCTTGTGAAGACATTGACATCATTACCATAACTTACAGAATTATTGTTAATTATGGAAAAAAGGTCCAGTGGATTCTCTGCATATTATCTTTGCAGATAATATATAAGCCAGTGATCAATTATACTGTGCTTGGCTAAACATTATAGTACTTTTTATTCTTCACTCCTTTCCAAGAATCTTAGTTCTGTTTTGCTAAGACAAATATAAAATAGAAAGTGAGCTTGTATACTTCTGTACAATGGAACATGCACTTGGATACAATACTAAATGTCAGGGGAAGAAACAATTTGTGATTAAAATAATGTGGATAATTAACAGTGATTTACTAAACTTTGAGAGTACACTTTAAAATGTTCAAAATTCTGTAATTTGTTTTTCTCATTGATAAATAAGGCTTTGGTCAGACTTTTCTTTTTTTCCAAGAGAGAAGTATACATTAAGTTTGTTTCTTAAAAAGTCTTCCAGATTTGCTACTTTCTGACTTTTCTTCAAAGCACTTTTTCTTTAGTGAAATGGAACCTTAATTAAATCACTGTAAAACCATCCAGATATGGAATTATTTTCAAAAACAATTAACAGCTTTTTTTCTCTCTCTTTTTTTCCTGGTCGATTCTAAAATGGCAAAGGAACTCAAATCATTCCTTGTCTTATTCTTGAATTATAAATGTGGGATCTGAATTTCCCATTTTTATTAATGTAAAGACTCTCAAAAGACAAGGCAACATTATGTGAATTAAGTGAATGGGTAACACTCAAGTTCTTTCCCTTCCTTTAAGCTGCTATCATAGTATTAATTGTCATAAATGTGGTTCCTGCACTTAAAAAGAAATCATATGCATTTATTTTCAACAATGTATTCTAGAAACACTTATTTTTGTATTGGGAAACTATCACTTGTGAGCACAATCCTACAGTTGTACATGGTGACATCAGATTTCACCTGGAATACCTACCAGCAGGAATCCTGGGGGGCAAGGATCCTCCTCTTGGCACTGGATGGGGGGCCTGGATGCTATTTAAAAACCCTGCCCTCAGGAAGCTGGGGCAGAACGCGTCCACTCCAATGGTGGGGAAGGATCCTTTTAAGAGACAAAAATGGACATTAATTAAAGTCTTCCTTGTGGAAAAGGTGTTGCTCATTTAACTGGAATACAACCTAAAATCAACAGACATCATATTTCATAAGGCAACTATAAAATGGAAATGAATAGAATGCTTTTTATTCACAAATTAAAAAAATCCATGTAGTTTCTTAAAAACTTTGTTGATCATTTAACTGGTATATTACCTAAAACCAACAGACATCATAATTCAAAAGGAAATTCTAAAATGAAAATGAATGGAATGCTTTTCATTCATAAATTTAAGAATCCATGTAGCTTATAATTGTGCTGTTATGTGCCGTGGAGTCAGTTCCGATTCACAGTGACCCTGTACAGTGTTTCTGAGGCTTATAATAGTTATTATAAATTAAATTAAAGTGGGTTTGGAAGCAGCAGAAGGCTAATATCAAATTTCAAAACCTACATATACAACGTAAAATCTTCATGAAGAATGGTCATAAACAAATATAAAAAGTGGATATAAATATCAACCATTGATGTCTGTTTCCAGAATTCACATCCTCAGGGGGCCTATACAGAAATTAGTTAGAAAAGGATTCCGAGATCTACTTTGCACTAAAGAAGTGGTGGTGGTGGTTGTGTGCCGTGGAGTCGGTTCCAAATCATAACAACCCTGTGTTGGATTTCCGAGGTTGTAAATCTTTACAGGAACAGAAAGCCTCATCTTTCTCCCAGGGAACAGCTGGTAGTTTTGAACTGCTGACCGTGAGATTAGCAGCTCGATTTGTAACCAGTATGCTGTCAGAGCTCCTGCAATAAAGGAGGAGTACTTTCCATATGTATATCGGTGTTAGTGCTTGAAATAAGGAAAGTTTCTGCACATTATAGAAATTGCATGTGATTCTGAAATAGTGAAAAGACAACCAAGGTACATGATTTTTAATGTTTCACACTTTTCTGTTAGGAGCTAGATACACAGAGCTTGCAAAGGTAGAACCATATATATAAAGTTTTAAGAATGCCATTGTGAATACAAAGAATGTAAACTTCATGGAAATTTATCCTTAAAATCATATAATGAATCATAGAATAAAAGCAAGCCAGCACTTTCTTGAGAGCGCATCTAGTCAAAACCCTTTATTTCACAGAAGAGCAAACTGAGGTCTAGGGAGGGGAAATAATGTCACATGCTAGGAGACTCAGGGGACAAAATCTTCTCACTGCAGAGTAGAAATGAACACTGAGGCATTTCCTGTTTGGAGAATTGCTATGCTTTGAATATGAGTTACAAACCTTACACTTTGGAATAGTAACATTACAGTTTGATGTCTCAGTGACCTGAAGAAAATTTAATAGACATGCAATATCAGTGCAAGAGCAGTACTGATAATTGCTATGTTTGTAGAGATTTAAATCTAAGTTTAAATCACAGTAATACCCTTAAAAGCAGGTTATACAGATGACTGTAGGATTGCACCTCATTCCTGCACTCTGAGAAAATCCTCACACTCAGCAGTTTTCACTTGTTGAGACTTGAGGTCGCTCCTCCATACACAGATCTAAGAAGTCTCGTCTTTACTTGTGAAGAGACTTCTTACTCTATTCTTTCAGATGGATTCTTCACTTAAAAGTGATTTGAGAATTCTTAGAATAGTTTGAAGCTTCTTAGAACTTTGACCAGGATTTAAGGGACCTGATATGCCACATAGTATTATATACTATGCTGGTATGGAGAAAGTTATTGTTTAAGAAAAATCAATATTCCTCAAATATTTGGAGCATATTTTTTATTTATTTAATGAAAGAGCAAAGTTGAAATATATGTTTTAATGTGAGAGGGTCATACTTTTTAAACTGGATTTAAAAAAAGCTTTGAAAGAAAGCCACATACTACACTACGGATACAAACTCTGGTTTTGTGATTGATTTTAAGGATGTGGCATTGTAGGATAAGCACTTTACTGCTAACCACAAGATTGGTGGTTCAAATCTACCAGCTGCTCCTCAGAAATCCTATTCAGGGTTGCTATGAGTCAGAAAGGACTCAATGGCACTTAACAACAACAAGTGTAGCAAGAGTAGCAAGAGCACCAAGTGCTAAGCAAAAAATTGATCTGAGGTAACTTGTAACAAACATCAAGTCTAGATTCTTCTTTGTTAGCGCATAGACTGTTTATTACTGAACACAAGCTAATATGCACCTGTGGACAATGTTTCCCACACAAAGCTGTTTCAACATTGTAACGTTTAATTTCTGGTAAACCACTCATAATGAAACTGCTGAAAAACAGGTGGTGATAATTATATCATACATTTGTACAGCATTCTTATTTTAAAAAATGGTGATGTCTCAAGAGGAAAAATAATTATAAAAAAAAAATTGGATTTTATTATATGAGAAGGCTTCAGAAAGTTTGTTGAGAAATGGCATCAAAAGATCATAAAATTTTCCAGGAACATTTTGAAGTGCCTTGTATGCAGTGAAAAACTAAAACAACACATTTTTAGCTGATATGGATTTAATTGTAGTCTTATAATAGTAAACCTGATTCAATAATATTAAATCATAAAGAAAAATAATTAAGAGTCACATACTGGAAAGAAAAAAATGATAGAAATGAGATTATCTTCAAGGAAATTTACAGAAAAACCAAAGCACGTGCAAAAGTGACTCAAACAAAATTTAATATGTTCCAGATTTGGAATTCGTATCTGAGTTATTGTGATTTTGGCCAACACTACTTACAAGTGTTAACTTAGAAAGGATGCCATTATTTTAGCTTCTTGAGAGAGACTAAATTTAAATATTATTTTATTGCTATGATTATGTTGATTGCTATTTTTGTTGTTGTGACAGCTTGTCATATTTAATAGCTGCTTTCATTTTTCTGTACTTGCTGCATCATTCATAATGGCTTTGTTATGTTTTTTTTTTATCATGGGTAAAAGTCTTTCATTTATTGTGGCATCTTTTCCTTAAAGAGCTGTCATTCTTTATATCTGCAGAAAAAAAAAAAAAAAAACAACAACCCAGCAACAACAACAAAAACAGAGAAAGTGGTGCACAGGAATACATATTCAGTTAGGATACCATATTATATGATGATTACACCTTGTCATTTTTTTCCCTTAAGGTCAGTCATGTCAACAGAGATTTATGAAGCACTATAGCTTTGATTTTTCACAATTCAATTAAGAGAAACTCCAATTCATTTTTATTATAATTCAATTATCTCTTAATTCACAAGAAATTAAGTTCTTGAACCTTTTAGGATTTGATGTAAAGTGATTTTAGTCTGGGTTTCCCTATTACATAGATTATTGTCTCTTTCTTTGATTTTTGAAAAGCAATTTTGGAATTTATTAATGTTATACTGTGAATGAGGAATAAACAATGGCTAAAGTTTTTAGTAGGAGAAATGTCAATTTCATGAGTATTTCATTTTAAGCTGTCCTCAGTATATTAAGGATTTTGTTAATATAAATTAAATTTCATATGTGATGGGAGTACTATCTAGCCATTAAAGAGCAAAATATGAAATGTATAACTTCACACTTTTGGTTTTCCAAAAATTCATGTACTTGCAGTTTCTAGTTTATTATTAATCTTGAATTTATAAAGAAAGATCAAGATTATACTATAAATGTAAGCCAAAAAGTAAAATCACAGAAACCATTATTAAATAAAAATGTCAAAATCGTTTTTCAACGTTTCATCCATTTAGGTCTGTACACTTCTGAAGGCAGTCTTTCCATTTCTCTAACCCTTCTATGAGGAGGTGGGCTGGGAATGGTACTGTAGGACAAGTATTGAACTGCTAACCACAAATCAGAGGTTCAAACTCACCATCTCCTTGGAAATCCTAAACATACTCAATGGCACTTAACAACAACAACCACCCTTCCATGAATAATTCTGTACTCTGGTTTATAACATGTCAATATGACAGTTTCAGCATTTTCAAGGGACTCAAATAGCGTTCCTTTGAAATGTTTTTTTGAGATTTTGAATAAAAAAGAATCTGATCAGGACTGTAGGGTAGATGGGCAAGGTTTTCCAATAATATTCTTCTTTCCCAATAGTAATAGACCTGCTAACTGTGTCTGTGGTTGGAGCCCACCAACCACCCTAGGACAAAATGATGAGGCTTTCTGCTGCTGCAAAGATTTACAGTTTTGGAAACCTTATACCCGGCTGCTATGAGATGGAACTGACTCTAATCAAAGAATTAACAGGTACATTGTTGTGATGGGAAAAAAAAAAAAATCCTAGAAATAACACCAGAAATTTGATATCATCAAAAATTTGCATAGAAGATCATTATAACTTTAAGTTCCTTGTGTCTCGATTTCCTTGTATGTAAAATGAAAATAGTAACTGAATCTACAATCTGGGTTTATTTTGTAAGTATTACATGAGAGTAAATGATCATAAATATAAGCCAATATTGCTATTTTTACTGTGGCTCTGTTGGATAAGCACCAGACTGCTAACCCTAAGACTGGAGTTTCAAACCACCAGCCGCTCCTCAGAAACCCTTTACAACGTGGTATGAGTTGGAAATGACTCCATGGCACTTGACAACAACAAAAACAACAATGCTTTTTTAAAAAAGAAACTCTTTAGGTGGAAAATTAAAATAAAGATTACTGAGATGTTTTAATGCAAAAACCTCACTTCCTTACACACAAACTATTTAACAGAAAAATTTCTTCTTTAAAGATTATTTACTAATAATTTAATTTTAATGGTAAACTTTTATTTAACAGGACCCCTTCGAGTTCTTTTTATTAGCTGTCAAAATATGGATGAAATAAATAATCTCTTTCAAGGATCTGGACAATTAGGACAGGACCTTGAATTCACCTGAATCTAGCCAATGATCCTAAAAGACCTTATTGCACTTGACACAGTGACTCTCAATCCTGGATGGACTCGGGCAGTGAATAAAGACCACTGGCTGAAAGTAGTAGCAAGTTTGAACTGACTTCACCTATTTTCATGCAAATGACCT